TGCTGCAGTTAGTCCTGTTTCAAGTTCACTGGTTGAACTGCCTGCATTTCATTGGTAATATACACATTCGAACTGAAATCTGGTATCTTTCGCATCAAGCACACAATGATTTTTTAGAGTTATGGAGATCACTGTTTTTACACATAGAAATCACGAATCAATGATTGTTAGATTGCCATTGTGCTTGCTGGGTGTTTGTAGAATATACTTTCTACGCTTATCAAGACTTCTCTTTTGTCGTTTTCGGGTCAAGGTAACCTACTTGGACGCTGGTTCATTGTCTCACTAATGTGAACCCGTAATAGTTTCAAGCTTACCTAGTGACGAACATAACAAGTGGCTAAGGTATTTTCGGAAACATGGATCCTGCCAGACTTGAATTATTATTTGAGCAGCAGCTGAAACTGATGCAAATGTTGACAGACATGAAAATTTCCTCTCCCAAACGACTCAGCTCATCTAATGCAACCACAGCTCCATCGGTCGATGGCATCGCAAATAGCATAGCTGAATTTCATTATGATCCTGATGCCAATGTTACTTTTGGCATGTGGTTCCAGCGTGATGAAAATTTATTAAGATTTGATTTTGCCAATCAAGATGACGCTTGAAAGGGTGGGTGTAAGTGAGCTGGACAAGTATTGCAATTCAATCCTGCCTTTGAACTCACGAGATCGTTCATTTTCTGAGACAGTTCAGACATTGAGCCAACAGTTTGGCGACAACTCGTCACTGTTTAATACCCGTTATCGATGTCTGAAGCTAGTTATGAACGAAGACGATGATTTTCTTAGGCACGTGGGCATCGTCAACTGTGAATGCGAACGCTTCCGGTTGAAGTCTTTGCCTGAAGATCAGTTTAAAGCCCTCATACTCATCTTCAGCTTCCAGTCTTATAAGTTCAATGACATTACAACAAGGCTACTATGACGGGTTCGAGTCGAGCGAGTATCAGCAGCCGTGCATGCGCACCGCTGATGAGCCCCTTACCAAAACTTCCGGGTTTCGAATGGTGATCTAAAAAAGATTGATTCATGATTTCTATGTATAAACGCAATAAGTTACAAATCAAAAATTTATTAACAATAAAATCAAGCCATTCGTCAAGTGATCCTTTTACTAACTAGCCTTATCGAATTGTAAAATACTCTTCACTGACGTAGTTATTAGTTTTTTTCAATAGATAAATTCAAATATATTTAAACGGTTAAATAAAACTATTTAATATATGTCACCTGTAACATATAACATATTAGTTTATTATAGTTGACGTCATTACTGAAAAACAAATTATAGCAAAACATTGAATATGTCATTTGGAAAACCAAAAATTATCTGTAACTTTCAATCAGAATAATTACGTTTTTTCGAACTCTAGATTTCTACAAAATTGAGTAGTAATATTCAATCAATCTAACAATTCAATAAGTACTTTCAAAAAAAGAGTCTTCCCAAAAATTTGTAATGAAATCGTCAAAAAATGCAGTTTTTGTCAATACAAAAAAATGGTTAGGCATTCGCGCACAATATCGAAGGTCCCGGGTTCCAATCCTGCGAAGTGCAGGGGTCGTGGATGCGCACTGCTGATGAATCCCATACCAGGACAAAACGGCCGTCCAGTGCTTCCAGGTTTCTAATGATGGTCTAACAATGATTGATTGATGATTTCAAATGTGTAAAAACACAAACCTCCAGAACTCTGCCCGAAAAACAAAAAAGTGTCCCAAGTGCGTTTATTTTACACATCTTTTTTTAGTATTACAGTTTGTCAAAAGCGTTTTACGGCCAAAATAAATAATCATTGATATATATATATATGCATCTGCAATCAGTCCAGTTCAGTTACGTAAGCAGTATATCAATGATTTGGATACTTATTAGGAAGATGTCATTTTTAGCATGTTTATTCAAAAGTTTATTTCATTCTTAAGGGGTGAATGATAAAAAAAATCATTTCACATTCCACAGTAATTATTTGATTACCTTAAAGTTATATTGATTTCTGTCGCTTTCGGTAAGCAATCAATCCTGTACGTGTTCACTTTAGATGCTTATGTTTACCAATCGATTTTAAGAACTGAAAGTCTTAGTAATGTGAGTATTCAATATTTTCTGAACTGAGAGGAGACAATTCACTGTTATTTCCTTTTTCAATGATTCTCTAACCATTGTCAATTCATGATGAAAATTAATATCAAATAATATAAAACTATGTAATTAATTTATGAATTATTATTATAATTATCATATTAAATATTAATTTTTCCATGAACATTGTTTGACATATTTTGACAATATTCACAATCACAATTAACGTCATCATACATTTATTGCTGCACTTTAGTAAGTTTGTTCCGTGTTATAACATTTTATTAATGGTTGTTAACATTATTATCGTCTATCTAATTTTATGTTTGTTAATTTATTTGTGTACTGCATATCGTACATTAACATGTATTTAGTTAACGATACAAGTCTGCCACAAGTGGTGCCTGTGAGGTTCCTTAATATTTCTGTTCCTCCATTTAGGGTCATTGACCCACAAATTTGGTTTATTAGACCTGAAATTTACTTTTTGGCCAACCGCATTCATTAGCAACGAGACTAATTCGGTTATGCATGCTCACTGCTTCCAGATGAAGATGCAGATAATGTACGAGAGTTCCTAACTAAACCCGACTCTGAAAAGCCATATGACATGTTACAACAGGCCGTAATAAAACGTGTCTCGTTAACCGACAAACAAGCGATCCACCAGCTCAACAAAGTGCTAATAGATGACTGGACTCCATCACTATTGAAGTATTGCATGAGAAGAATAATAGGGGATAGAAAGATAGAAGCATATTTTATCAGTTATGGCTTCGTCGACTCCCTCCAAATGTGCAGCAGTCGGGTATAGCGACGCCGATTTAAATCACATGGCAGAAATAGCCGATAAATTAAACAAACCAATGTTTTGGACTGGCCGGAAAATCGTTTACCTGGGGTTACTTTTTTAAATTTTTGAACTTCAGAAGATAAAAAATATGCTTGAAAAACAAGACTATTTACATCTTTACTACAATTCCATATTCAATATTCTTTTCGCATTTTACAAAATGTTCAGAATTTTTCTTGTAAAGTTTCATTTTTAATCTTGAAAAATGAATAATGAACGCCAAACATCAGTTAAACAAAACAAAATGATGAAGAATACAATAAAGGCATTAAAAGAAAAAGCATTTGTGTTTTTTATTACGGATCAGTTTTTGAAAGAAAAATATAAAATCAATAAAAGTTTCAAAAGTTCATGCACTTTCTTTTGAATATTATTTTTATAACAAAAACTTATCGCTCTTTTAATTTACAATCCTTAATTAAGAACGAAGTCAGTGATATGAAGTTTGACAGTTTTGAATAGTGTGAACATACTTTTAGCTATTTTTTTGTCAATTGTTACGACATAAATTATTTGGTTGTAGGTTGGAGAATAATGGTCAGTGGCCTATGCTCCGTTGGGAGTTACAGGCGTGAGTAAGTAAGTAAGTAAATTATTTGGGTCACCTGCTAAGATAGTCACAAAATGTTTTTTATCTTAACACTTTTGACGTAGTAGTTGGTGCTACTGTACGCGTAAGTATTTAAACTTTTATTGATGGTGAACAAATCCTAGACGTATATGTCGTTCTCTACTCTAGATCTTTTAATATGTGACCAAAATGTTTCAACAAGCACTCGATTTATTTCAGTATATATATATATATATATATATATATATATATATATATGTATATATATATATATATATATCAATGAATCCCTGTAATTGACAAGAGTGTTTTATCCAGCAATCACAAACTTATTGCTTGAATAACAGGAACCGAAATTAAAATTTCTCATTTCCTGAACTGGATATAATATTTAGTTGCATTTGTTATACTGCCGTTAGATAAAAAAAGCAGTGTAAACATATCACTAAAAATATGATCATTCTGATTGTATTCCACAATAAAGTAAAGTTATGAAGGTGACTTAATACAAATACTTTAAATATTGATTTATTGGCTTCAATGTATGACGAGTTAGTTGTGATCGATTATGTCTTAGTGATACTTCTCGTGTGGTATCTTATTAGGCTGATATACTAAATTTGATAGCAAACCAACCTATTTATCCTTTCAGTAAAGATGTGGTGACGAAATATCTGCGTGTTCTAAAGCTCGGTAATTAGCTCGTCTAGACAATCGTTACCAAGTAGCGTCTGACGGTCATAAATCGCAGTAATGAATACGTCTATCTTTGGACACAACACAAAGCGAAGTTGAAAAGCAGCGAACAAAGCGTACGAAACGACGTGAATTGGAGAAGACTGCTGAGCCAACTCCAAGAGATAGAGCGTGACTAAGAATATATAGTCAGACAAAAATAAGACAGACATGAGATAAGCGAACTAGGCATGCACACACATGAATAAAAGCGACGAATGATTGACAAGGTCAAATGACTAGTGGGACACCTCATGTGAGCTCATACAAACCAGACAATAATAAGAACGAATGGTACATATGAATTGTTGCAACACAAATGGATTGGTTAAATAAATTAATCGAAAGAGCTTAACCAAGTTAGATCTAAGCGAACTGGAATATATGTGGAGGCACTACAAAGAAATGAATGGTATGTGTCAGGGAGAAATAGCAGAGAGAAGAGAAAGCTGATATAAGCACAACACGATATTTCATAATGAAAAAAAGACATTCTCTACTACTTGTAAGCAAAAATAAAGAATGTATTTAACAAAACTTCTGAATGACGATAAATATTTCAGCAAAAATTCATCGTATACGCTGATATCAAGAAAGAGCATAATAGATTTCTGTACAGAAGCTCTTGAAATGTCAGTAATATTTATAGCAATGTAAAGAACTGTGTGTTAAAATTCTGCAGTTTGTTTTTCATTCCTTTTACGTAAAACAAAACTTTCAGTTGATAAAAAGCGACTATTTTACCAGTTTGATTTGTGTTCAATTTTACATGTCATTTTTCAAAAACCCTGTAAATGTTTGGAGAATATTTCATCACACCTTGGCAAATGAAATTTTTTTTCGTGGGATAAAAGCAGTGAAAATATCACGTGAATATTTTTAGCTCTATTTCTATCCTTGAAATTGTTTTTTTTAATAGAAAAAATGAGTCGTAATATATATGGATTTGAGAAAAAAAGGTATCAGGTGATAAATAAAGGCAATAGAACTGATTTAATGAGAGATAATTGGGTTTTACGTCATTATCGCTAGTCGCTAAAGCTGATTTACAATAACCTGATACTAAGGGTGTTGGAATTTGATTTTCACATATTTGGGTAAGTTGATTAAAAATTTTCAAAATGACGTTTATATTACGTAATAATTAATTGAATTTTAATCTAAATACTTGTAAACTATGTGTAAATAAATGCAAGTAAGTGAATCTGTATACATTTATGCTATTCAGCTACGCAGAATGGTGTAAAACAGGTAATTTTAGTGTTGGGGATGTTAGATCCCCCAGAACTCGCTTAATAAATGCCATATTTTGGATTTGAGAGCATGGGCTGATCAGTTGACCTTGAGATTTCATTTCCCACCAGCAAAATCCTTGGCTGTGATTGGCTGCTGTGTATTTTAGTGTGCTATTTTTGTGACTGTCCTAAGGACGTTTCTATGATGTATAAATAAAGAAGAGTTGTGTGTTTGATCGTATTGTGCTTGCTGGGTGTTTGTAGAATATACTTTCTACGGTTACCAAGACTTCTGTTTTATAGCTTGGGATTCAAGGTAGCCTACCTGGACGCTGGTTCATTGTCTCGTTCGCGTTTATCGACTAAGGTGAACTCGTAATTGTTTCAAGCGTACGTAGTGACGAACTTAACATTTTGAAATACAGTTTATTTGAATTAAAAATGTTGTTTAGTATTGATGTAGCATTTCCTTTGTCCTTTCAACAATACGATACTAAAATGTCTTTTTACTCAGATCTTAAAAAATATTTACTATCAAAAAAATTATATTTTATTACGTAGAATCTGGATGTTTCCATTAAAAGTGTCCATATGTGCTTTTGATGTGTTCAACTTTAAAGGCCTATAAAACAATAAGAATGTGGAATGTATTCACATGTGAATATGTTGTATTACAGTTTTAAATTTCTTTAAATTCGTTTTCAAATAAAGAAAACAATCAATCAACCTATTGCGACTAATCATTTCACATCTGTTAGATATGTTCAAACTTGATAAGATAAAATCATATTGAGTCAGCATTCGATTTCAGCTTGCTAACTGTATTTAGATGATGACACTGATTCAACCGAGCAAGTTACGTGTTAACGCATCTGTCATTGTCGTAAATCTTTCTCAGTAACCTTAAAAATACGTTTAAAAAAGTTATTTGAAACTTGCACAAATTCAACAAACTAATTTCTTCAGCCATCATCACATTCATCACTTAAACCATATGTCATCACCGTTCAACATCGCTTAGCTTTAAACGATAAAATGAAAAATCATTTTTGTGGTTTGCTGATTGTTTATTGGAAACCTTTGCCTGTTAAAGCTGCATTGTGTATACTCATGTTAGACTAGTTAAAATTATTCTAGAGTCATTACAAAAAGAAAATTAAAAAATAATCAGCTTTTATAGTATGAAATAATAATGCTATGCGTCAAACACGCAAGTGCTTAAACCGATTTCAGGAGTTTAAGTGTGTCTATTTGTTGGATTTATTTTTTTCTGATTTCATTATGGAGTGAGGTTACTAGTAATATATAAGTCTAACTACTAAGTTCTTGCCAAACATTCGTTGGTGTGTATTGTTGATGAGTCCAAAAATAAGACGAAACGACCATCCAGTACTTCCAGGTTTCTTATGATGGCTGAACTTGGGTTTGAAGTTTAGGCTGCCATCATTTCACACCATAATTTTGTTTCACCAAATTAGTCAATCTGAAGATACTGCTGCTTAGTTATGAAGTAGTTTAATTTACGAATTTATAACAAATGTGTGAAATTGCACGATGAATTTCCAAAATGAAATAGATTTTAACAGGCTTACCAAGTGCATAAAGTAAATTGAACTTATTTTAATTGAAAATGGCTTCGAATCATTTGATGAAACTAGAAAAGTATTTGTTGATAGCATTTAAGTTAAATAACAGCTACGTTTCTAGTCTCGTATTTCAATTTTAATCGAAATGATCAGATGATATGGAAATGAAAGAATTTCGTCAAATTACTATTTGCATTACAGAGTTGTGAAGACTGTTAAGTTACACATTTTTGAAACCATGAATCGATCAATGTTAGACCACCATTAGAAACCTGGAAGCACTGGACGGCCGTTTCGTCCTGGTATGGGACTCCTCAGGAGGAGTCTTCACAACCATGTAATGCGAATTACCTGTGCTCACTAGTGAATAGCTTCATGAGGAATCTTCTCCGAGTTCTAGTGGGAAGACGTGACCAGTGAAGTTCAACCTGTTCGGGTGTAGATAGTGTCTGCCGAAGACTGTGTATGAGGTTGCGCAACTGCGTGAATTGATTGAAGTCAGACATTAACACTGTTAGATACCGGCTCAGTGGTCCGATGGTTAGGCGTTCCACAACAATACCGAAAGTCCTGTGTTCGAATCCTGCGGGGTGCAAGAGTCGTGGATCCGCACTGCTGGTGAGTCCCATACCAGGACGAAACGGTCACTGTCCAGTGCTTCCAGATTCCTAATGGTCGTCTAACATTGATCGATTCATGGTTTCAAAAATATTACTATTTACCTAAATAAATGACTCCCATTGGTGATATGGTATTTATCACAGCGTATAACATTATTGATGTAAAACAGTTTGATGTACAAAATGGGATTACTATTTCGCTTATCTATAAACAAAACATTTTGTACTAAGGATCAAGAAAAAAATTAGTGTGTATATAACTTTTTATATAGATGATAAGCTGTCAGTTAAGCGCTTAGGGAAATGAATTTGATAAAAATTTTCTTCGACAACTTAGATTAATGGTCAGTCAACTGCGTGAAAAACTTTTAGGATTAGACATGGCAGAATTTTACCATGCCGACATTCATAGTGTATGTAAACAAATAATGATTAGTCCGTTGGCAGTGAATAAAATATTACAAAGGATAACTGTAGGATCCAAACTGACGTTTGGAATGAGGAATAACTGTCCAGGTAGTTTAGATGCGCGTCTTGCCCAGCTGAAACCAAAACAAGTGATTCGGGTAAATAACGGTTCTAATATTCATCATAAATATAAATGTACATCATTTCCTAAACGATATTATCACTCAGTCATTCCTTGAACAATTTTTCAGTTAATCAAATCAACAGCAACAGATAACTGGTATTCTATCCTTCCTGAAAAGATCAGATTCGTTCGATAGATAATATTTGGTCGCTTTATAACACAGAGTGCTTCAATTCACGATCCAAAAGCACAATTTCGGTCAATTCAAGCAACATAATCAAAAGAGGAACAAATCATTATGGCTGTCGCCACGACCAAGTATCAGCTACAACAACATAATGCAGTCCAGAAAGTAGCACAGAAACTCAGTAAAGGCAGAAGAAATAGAAACTATGATAAAATACAAATATTATCAACTCAAATGGAATCGAGTAGATCAACAAAATGTACAAGTGAATGAATCAATAAGGACATATTAAAAATGTATACATGGAGGGATTTTCATATATAAAGCCATCAAAAATAGGTCTTACAGTAACTATCCGAGAGAACCGTCGTCACTGGATCGCTGAGGTGTCTTTCTTTAAGTGATAAAATACCTTAATTTCGCCATAACAGTTTACTTTTCTGATGATACAGTTTTATGAATACTAAGTAACTCACTAGAAGAACACTACTGTAATGGTATCGATTTTTAAATTTCACGCATCTAACCACTGTGTTCTACGATTATGTGTAGCAGACGAAGCACACTATAAGTCTATATAAATACAGATTTCAATTAAATCCCGTCATTCGAATTTATGTTTTTTAAAACTAACTCACTGGAATCTTTATTTTTAGTTATCGGTCTTTTAAGAAGAAATGCTCAAGAGGAGAGGGAGAATAATGATGAGTAGTGTGCATGTTTGACAGTTGATTTGAGCTTATCAGTTACATAATTCGATCATCAAATAAGTCAGTAAATGAATAGAAACTTAATCGATACAATCCCCCTGATCTTACTTGATAATATTGGATGTATGTACAGATAGGTACAGTAGGTTTTAATGTTCTGGTAAGAATTCATGACACATATTTTGCACTGTCAATCGAAAACCACCGACATTAAGAAACTGTTCTTATTAGTTAAAAAATCTGGATTCCATACTGAAAAAGAAACAGAGAGATGTTCAGATCAAATGATCTTATTTTAATAAGTAGGAAAGGTATTAAACTAACTTAAACGTTTATATCTTACTTAATGAATTGCAGAATAAAAACAAAAGGGCCAGCTAAAATGATTCTTTTTCAATATTACAACAAAAAACCTTTACAATAAATCGATTTTATTATTTTTATATTCACCAACATTTCACATTAAGGGTACACATCATTCTTCATCGTCATTCCACTTATGTATATTCATACAATTTACTACAGGCGATCTGTTTACACTTATTATTCATTAAAATTGATAAATTTTAGGATGGTTTGATAAGATAAGTTTCATATGATGCCTAACAGGAAAGCAATGTACAGAGTGAATTTCAAATCGCATCTGTAAAACATTACTGACACAATAAAACTATGGATGTATTATATGTTAGCGACCTATTTTCTACTTTATCTCACTACTTACGTCAAAAGTAATTAGTGTCATAAAAGTTTTACAAGACTCATATCATTAAAAATCTTCTAAATTTCAAAATGAACACGAAGTTTATTAGTTGAATTCCTTAAATGAATCAAATCACAAGGAACTCCTATAGCGCATATGTTTTTATGCAGTTCAAAACTGGGATCTAAATTATTTTATCACAGAAATATCAATTATCTAAAGCTTCTCACGACAGTATTCAATTTCGTTCTTGTATAGGACACCTCAGCAGTAGATTGATTAAATTTAGACAGATACCTTCTCAGTAATCAAGAGGTTAAGCGTTCGTGCAAGAGACTAAAGTTTCTGGGCTTGAGTCCCGCATGTAGGGTTTTAGATGGGATATACTGAGGACTTCTATGCTAGAACGATACGGCAGTCCAGTGCTTTTAGGTTTCTAATGGTGATCAGTCATTGTTC